TGTGTGTGTGTGTGTGTGTGAGACATATGGAGGTCAGGAAAAATCTTTAACAGCAGGATTTCCTCCTGTCTCTTGAGATTTGCCTGTTCATATGCAGGCTCCCAATAAGTTTTCAATTTAATCTCAGTTATGGGACTCAGTTTCCTTCCCTCTCTTATAGCAAACAAGTCAGCTATTGCCCTATCCCTATTCCAAGCAGTTCATTGTCAACAGTTCCTATTTTCCGACAAGGGTATTCATTCTATGAGGAGATATGAAGCAATGGTTAAATAAAAAAAAAATCATGTTAATAGCTGAATCCAGTATCAACAATGAGGAACAAGTTACAAGAACACTCCACTTGAGTATGTTTTTATAATCACTGTATCCCTAAATAAAATACAAAAATAAGACCTGGGCACCATACCTTAACAATTCAGACATATTAGAACAGGTTTAGAAAAGAATCTAAAAGATGATCAGGAATTAAGACTTTTCTTATGTAGAGAGAATACTAGAACATGCAAAGAAGGAAGTAACAGTACCCCAAAAGATTTCAGACAGATGGACAAAATCTGATCTGCCTTGTTTCAGAGGGCAGCACATGGATAAAAGAAGTAACTAGCAGATTGTGGTTAAATGTTAGAAATTATTTATTATTATTTATTATTTCTTTTGCCCCCCCACCTTACTACAAGGGCACCTTAAGAGCTAATCAACAGTAAAATCAATTATCCAGAAAAATTGTGGTCTCTCCACCTGATCTATTTATGTAGAGGCTGGACAGACACGTGTCTTGGATGCTTCCATTGGGATTCCCATCGTAAGCTGGAGCTGGATTTGAAGGCCTCCTATCCAGCTTTGGGATACTAATACAGTCCAAGTCTTGACATGCCTAGACAAAATTGCCAAAATAAGTTTCTGAAGAAATAGTGCAACAAATGATGGCAAATAATCTACTACCAAACTACCATTTGCCTATTTGGTCAGGAAAAATATATTGGCTAGTTGTCAGTGGATTAATACAAATATTGTTCTAGGTCTCAGAAACAATGATTTCAGAGATAAGGACCCAATGACAGGAAGGTGAAGGAGAAATTTCTAAATATTTCTCTTCATATACTCTTCACATAGATAGATTATTTCCAAGGATAGAAAAATTCTGGATGATAAGATATAGATATGAAGCTCTAAAGGTGAATTGCTCACAAAGATATCCTTCCATTACTTTATGTATCCTATTTTAGGATTCTTGTTTTGCTCTTTGGTGTGAGAAAACATGCTTTACAATGAAAAAAAAACCTAATCTGGCAGAGATTTGCAGATACAAGGAACTATCCAAAATTCTTCACAAACCTTTGCAGCGAAGAGCAGGGTTTGAGAAACGCTCATTTGTATATATATATATAAAAAAATCCCTCTTGCCATTAAAGTTGTACATCTCTTTCACCCAGTGTGAAATCTACAGAATTAATGTTAGAACATATGCCTTTCAATGAGAAATGAAACAATCTGAAGGTTTCTGATATTAATCAGTTTGAGAGCTTTAAAGCTATCTTGGGTGCTTTGATTAACCCCTGTTCTCACAGGAAACATGGAGTTTTGGGAATCAGTAATCTTAGGGCATTACAGCTAATAGAATCAGCTTAAAAGGGATAACCAAGAAGGGCCTTTTGTGAAGCTTCAGAGACTCAATGGGGCCATACTGAAAAAGATAATAAAGCCCTTCAAGGTTTGATAAGAATTCTAGGCAGCTCTGAAAGTACCACTGACTTGGTCAAGATATCAACTGTTTTTCACCATCTCTCTTGGGAATGTGAACTGGTTCTTTATAGGATTTCATTAAAAACAACAATCCAAACAAAGCTGTCTGCTAAAATTAGATATTGGTCAAGTAGATTGACTTACTGAAATATTATTTAGAGGACATCCCTGTGGGCACCGAATTAAAACTTGAAAGTACCATATATTCTCTCTCATCCAAAACTCAATGGATTTGATGAAATTACAAGGAAGACTCAATCATAAATGAAGAGCAAATCTTCTGTAGCTCAAAGTGGCGAATAACATGAACACTACCTGTGCTCAGAAGCCAAATGACAGTTTATCAGTCTCTTTATTTCACTCTTCAGGGTAACGTGTTATCTTAAAGTCCACAGAGCATTGCCCTGTGCTCAATGCAATACCTAGGCAGGAAAAAACGAAGGTACAAGTACAAATTAGGCAAAAACTGGCTCAAAAACAGTAACTGTGAGAGGCACCTTGGAGTCCTAGTGGACGATCACTTGACTATGAGCCAGCAGGCAGCCAAAAAAGCTAACACAATCCTTGGTTGTATAAACAGAGGCATAGCATCAAAACCACATGAAGTATTAGTACCACTTTATAAAGCTTTAGTAAGATCACACCTGGAATACTGTGTGATCACAGTATTACATTACATTACAAAAAATATGTATTACACCACATTACAAAAAATATGAGAAACAGGAAGGAAGGAAGGAAGGAAGGAAGGAAGGAAGGAAGGAAGGAAGGGAGGAAGGGAGGGAGGGAGGGAGGGAGGGAGGGATGGGAATGAGAAGCAGGGAGGCAGGGAAGGAGGGATGGAAACAGAAAGGAAGGAGAGAGATTGGAATGAGAGGGAGGAAGGCTCTGAGGAAAGTCCTGCCTTAGCACTTGGCCACCAGCAGCCCTGCTGCCATTTCGCCCTTGACCCCTCCTGCTGGCCTATCCTGGTGGTCTTCCATCCTATTGCTAAGGATGCTTTGGTGATTAAGCCAGGTCTTCTTGCATGGAGATGGAGTGGGCCTCCCTCTGACCCAAGCAATTTGACCTCCTGCACCCAGTATGAGAAATCTAGCCAAGGAGAGTGAACACAGCAGCAGCAGCCTCAAGGAGGAGGTAAGCACAACTGGCCGCCTCCTCGGGGAAGTGGGGAAGGACTGGGTTGGGTTGCAGGGTCCTGGTGCCCCGGGAGCTCAAGGGCTGGGCTGGGTGCTTTCCCTCCACTGCCCAGGGCTCCAGGCAGCCCACACCACCGTCCGGGAGTCCCGACGAGGCTCCTCCAGTGGACCATGCCCTGGCACCCACCCCAGTCCCACCCCCCTCCACCAGAGCCCCCCAGATCCCCCCTCAGCCTCCCCAGCCCCCTGATAGGTGCCTCCCCAACCTGAGCAACACTGAGCTGCCGACGCGCCCCCTCCCCGGCCATTGACTTTGCTTGTCAAAAGGTTGCAAAAGAGATCACATGACCCTGGGACACTGTGACTATCATAAATATTAATCAGTTGCCAAGCATCCAAATATAAATCACATGACCCTGGGGCTATGCTGCAATAGTCATAAGTGTGAAAAACCGTCATAAGTAACTTTTTTCAATACCATTGTAACTTTGAACAGTCACTAAGCAAACTGTTGTAAGTTGAGGACTACCTGTATCACTTTTTTCCTTTTTTTTTGACACAAAGTTTTTGATACCTTGCTAGGAGATTGGTGGTACCTGAATATTACCATATCCTAAAAGTGGTAAAATTGGTGAAAAGATTGAAATGTCCTGGACTGGAAGACCTCCAAGGTCTATTCTGAATGATTGATTGATTCTCCATAATCTTTCTCAATGATCAGTGCAGCTCCATACCAAGAGATAAATTTCTAGGCACAGATGCAATACATAATGTATATGGTGTGTACATTTATATATATATATATATATATATATATAAAAGGAAATAAAGGAAAAACATGTACACACACACACACACACACACACACACAATCACAACTAAATAAATAACTCCAGAAAATGTAAACAATTTGTTTGGCTATCCTTTTAGACTCTTTTTAAAAAGAACAAGAAAAAATTATTAATAATTCACAACTGCAAATTAGGCATTTGATTTTTTTATAAACCTAATCAATCCTGTCCCAACCCCATTTCCTCCTGTTACTAAGAAGCTCTCATTATGCTAAATAAACTAAATAAAGCAATGCCTTCAAACATTGTACAAGAATTTGCAGTTGTTCCTCCCTCTCCACATTGGCAATATGGTATGGAGACGTCATCTGACTGATTTTATATTCCATAATCAACTGTGTGACCGGCAAAGTTGTTCTGATGTATTTTTTCAGTGGAACTAAAAATGAACAAAGTGTGGAGAAAAATTTATATAGGGTTAAGCACCCTCTGTCTGGATTATCTTCGCTTCCCCACAGTCTCCAGCTTTATATCAAATTACTGCTCTGTGAATTGTTGGCATTATCTTAATCCTATAGTAAATCCACTTCATCTTGGGCAATATATTTGTGAGATAATCTATAAAATACAAGGAGCTGATATAAAGATATGGTGTTTAAATTTTTTAGTGAATATATTTAAGTGAATTAAAAAAATTTAGAATAAATTGATATTAGTAATGTCAATAATCACTATTCTAAGATCCCATTATAAGAAGATGGTTTCCAGACTCTTGGAAGAATTTAATGCATGCTAGCAGAGGGAGCAGAACAAGGAACAGATTTACACAGAAATGCTACTTGGTGCCTTCAGAAGCCAAGGGAGACTGTTCTATTACTTATTTAGCATAATGACTATTCTGATTCTGAAAGCTTCTGAGAATTTCCCAGAATCACAAGACAGAGTAGAGAGGGGACAGCATTGATCAAAGTTCCAGAAAAAAGAAATAAATCAAATGCCATTATTTGTTTTCATGACTACATGTAATAATATAAGACTAACACAAGGAAAAAGGAAGAAAACTCTCACATCTGCCCACAGGAGGCGCTGGGTAAAGTTATTCACTTTTTCATTTATCTGGTGTGTGGCCATTAATCTAGCTGAATATAGAGATCGGTTAAAACAATGTATTAATATAATCACTAAGCCTTGGATTGATATTTTTTTTTTAAAAAACCTGGTCTATGAACAGAATAAAGATTGATCAGTAACTATTTTTATATTTTTCAAAGCCTATATGTATACTCATAACAGATTAAATTGTTTTGAATAGATTTTGAGCACTTACCCAATGCTGATCATAATCAGATGATCTTCCTCTACCTTCCTCTTCATCATATAAAGGTACACCTTCTCTCCTTGCCTGATGATACTCTTTACGTAACTTCTGGATGCGATCAGCAGTTCCAATAGATGGACGATCACTGGAAAAAAGAAGGAACATCTCAATAATATTTCAATATACTTACTTTCAGCTGGTTCATGTCTGAATTCATTCAACAAATGCAATTTTTCACTTAGTTTCACTTCTTCACAAGTCACAATTAGGTAAATAACAGACATATACAGTAGCATACTGGGCTAGCTAGGGTTTCTTTTTTAAAATTTTACTTCACTTCGAAGACAATCACATTTGGCACATACAATGCATCAAATGTTAATTAGAGTTCTTTGTAGGCTTCATTACATAGGTTGTCCTTGTCTAGTGACTGCCTCATTTAATGACTATAGTTATGACAGTGATGACAAAGTAACTTTGTGACCAGTCCTAACACTGACGACCCTTCGCAGATCTGTAAAACAAAGGGAAGCTGAAGTAAGATTGTAAGCACATGGTTTCACTTAGCAACCACTTTGCTTAGTGACTGAGTTGCTGGCACCAATTGTGGTTTTAAATGAAGATCACTTATAAATCATTAGAGAAACTAACCTTATCACCATTCAGGTTATCTGGAAAATGGTACAATCATAGCAGAGTCCTACTTACTCTGAGATCTTTCTCCTTAAAGAACAATTTTTCAGCTGCACATTAAACTAGCTTCTTGACATATGTTAAAAACAATTATCCACTATGCCAGTGGTTGGTAGAAATAATCTGATTACTAGAAGTGACTTCTTTTTTTTCCTACAAGCCTTTGTCAGACTACTGTATTGGCCCATCTCTTCTCTCCTTTATCTGTTGCCTAACAAATATTGCTAATACTTGCAGAAGGTTTGTTGAAAGAGCTATGGTGTGGCATGATTGGTGTCATGTCCAAATTAATGTTGACCTTGAGCTACACACATGAACAAGAAGACAAAAAAAAAAAAGGTTATCTGGCTAAGATTTACATTTCCTATTTTCTGTGAGTTTAAATGTAAAGTGAGCCATGGTGGGGCAGTGGCTAGAATGCAGTATTGCAGGCTGATTCGGCCCAAACCACCAGTTTGATCCTGACCGGCTCATGACTCAGCCGTCCATCCTTCCGAGGCAGAAAAATGAAGACCCAGATTGTTAGGAGCAATATGCTGACACTGTAAACCACTTAGAGAGGGCTGTAAATCACTATGGAGCGGTATAAAAGTCTAAGTGCTATTGCTATTAAACTAATTTAATTCACAGCGATATTTGTGGATACCATATTCCTTTTCTACATCTGCTCAAATGCAGAGATTATACGAAGAGGAAGAAACAATAATTTTTGTGAAGATTGAAAGAGGCTTGTTAGATAGTTCAACAAGTTCCCTGCACATGGAATATAACAAAGTGCTCTAATGTGCATAGCAGAGGGTTAATGATTTTTAATAAAATAATGACTTGTTTCACAGCACAATAGAGAGGATGCCATCCAGCCTCCACATTTCCAGTGTTCACCTATATGTGATACATAGGGGTGTGAAAGTATTTTGCTATGGGCCCTGATTTCAGTTTTTCATTCTCAATTGATCCATGGGAGTGAGATAGGGAAACAAGCTTTCATCTTCCTCAAGGAGTAAAAGAAACAAACAAACAAAAAACGTGACTTTGGGGGGGGGTAAATATACAGTTTATGTCTTTTTCTTGTTTTTCACAGTGCAAATGTTGTAAGTTTCCTAGCAGTTTGGCTAGGAAATGGCTTCTTCTTTCCGATGATTCTTGGAATAACCAAGTGACATTTTACAAAATAAACAACCTCTACCCCAAATTAATCAACTGGATTATATCTGGATATTTTATTAAAAATCATGACATAAATCTGCCAAAATGGAAATCTACCATGCAGAGCAGGCAGTAAAATGGATTTGCACATCCTGAGTAATATATTTGGATGTGACGCCTTACAAATGTGCACCACAGTCATGTTTAATAACCTTTACTAGAGTCATACATTTCCTTACATGGACATTGTTCCTGCCTGGAAGCAACCCTTGAAGCAAGCACATCTGATCATGATTTTACAGTTCACACAATTTTTATCCAGGCAATTTCTGTTATTATGAATCAGTGCCTTCATTTTCAGACTTCATGCCTGATGGAATAATCAGTTGCCTATGCTGGCAATTTCTCAGGTGCATCAGAACTCCTTGAGAACTCCTTTGCAGAACAATTATGAGATTATATGGCCCACAGCCTTACAAACCTAGGCTCATATAAAACTGACTGTGTTGCATCGCATCGTATGGCCTCTTGGCAAACCAGTCTCAATTTAATTGCAGGGCAAAACTATCAAGTTCCACAGTTAGATCTAATTTCTGAGTGGGACATAGAGAAGGGGAGCTAGATTTGTATATTAAGACAATTCTTTGCACTATGCCTTCATTGTACACACACAACCCCACCCCCCCCCCCCATCAAAACCAGACCACAGATTTTGAGGGATTTGGCTCAATCAGGGTTGACAACAATATAATTAAAAGCCTAACTGAGGATAGAAAGACAAACTGTGTAACAAAAAAAGCTAACTTCAATTCCCAGGCAATGTAAAATGATTGTGATATCCAATCCTTTAGTAGTTCAGAATTTCAGCTTGCCTCCTGACAATTACATGAATATATGAACTACATTCAGAGTTGCCAGATGAATTCAATCAGGGCCAGGCAAATATCGCATACATAATCTATTAGTTTACCCCAAAGGAACTGAAGCATTGAATTCAAACAAAATGAAGTCATCAGTAATAATAATGATAAAAAAAGAAAAGTATAAGGCAATATTAAAAACCTCACCATTTTCTCATATTTGTAAGAAAAAAAAATCATACCAATTGCAATCTATTCTCCCATCTGACTATATATATATATATAACTTTGTGTTTGATCAGATAGCCATTCTAAGGTAGAATTATGAAAAAAGAAAACAGATTTTAGGTGCATAGGAAGAATAAATGCTTGTCTTAGAAAAAGCAATCATAGGCTACAAAAAAGTGCAAAAATTTATGCCAACTTGAAAACTTGGTATAATACAATATAAAAATTACCACTGGAATGTATCAGTGAGAGTTGTAATCACTATTTAAGTTAGGAACTGTCTGAATGGGGGAGAATGTAATTTTGGTTCACCCCTGACACCAGCTGCATCTGTGAACCACACTTTTCATACTTGGCATTTGTCATCCTTGTGAGGTAGAACCAGACAGGAAACGTGGCCGATGAGCTAATTCTACCTTATTATAAGGTTATATTAACAGAATCTTGCATGTCTGAAAGTACATTAAAGGAGAATATTTGTAGCTTAGGGTTGAAATGAGGGGTTCTTGGTGCTCTCTGAACTTGTTTTCTTGCAGATGTTTCATTACCCAACTTGGTAACATATTAGTGTTTGGGTAATGACACGTATGCAAGAAAACAACCGAGCTCAGAGAGCACCAAGGATTTCTGAAAGTACATTTCCCCGTCCCTTCCTCCCCATTGCCTTTATAGTCTAAGAAACTAGGGAGGGTCCCTTCTGAGTCACTTGCTCTGCTTACCTTCTGCTGCAAGATGCCTTTTATCTGACTGCTCCCTTGGCTGTGTCTCTTCCCCCTGTCTCCGAAGGTCATTACAGTATTAAAGAGATGGGAACAGACCATAGTCAGTCAGATTTAGGCCAGAATCTGTATCTATCCACCAATATAGACTCCACATTGGTGCCAATAGACTGAATATATGAAGGCAAAGAGGAAACAAGAACACACACACACACACACACACACACACACACACACACACACACACACACATATATATATATATATATATATATATATATATATATATATATATTGTAGTTCTGGCTTTTGAGTACTAGTTGAGTAAGGATGGGGTAGCTTTCTTTATTAGAAGCAAAGTTTGTTGACTTTGAAGCAGGCTATATATTCTCAGTACTTGTGAATAACTAAATTATAAAAAGCTGTGATATTCATAAGACTTAATATAAAAAATAATAAAAACCATGTAACCATATTAATAAGAAACATAAAACCAAATCAGTCAAACTAAAAGCATGTACTACTGTACTAGTGACATGCAAAACACAGATGTCTATTTCCCAATGCTTGATAGAAAGGCAAGTCTTAACAGCTTTCTGTAAAATTACTAAAATGGGGACCATTTGGATCTCCCCATTGTTCCATTAGGTCAAAGTAGTAATGGCAAACACTGTTTGTGGCCCCACCACATTCTCTTTCTGTACTGGTGACAGGCTGGCCATGGTCAACTTGGAAGAGATAGTCCTGTAGATATCTTATTTCCATACCCTGTAGGTTAAACAGGTTAATGCTAGTTTCTTATATTGTATTCAGAAACTCACTGGAAGCCACTGCAGTGCAACATTACTGAACCATCCCTCTGCTCTCAGCAGTCTACTATTTTCTATATCAACTGCAAATTCCAAAGTCTTCAAGGGCATATCCAAGAGCAACACATTGCAGTAATCCAATCTAGAGCCTGACAGTTACCAGAGTCTCTCTCTCTCTCTCAAAGATCCCAACTAGTGCACCAGTTGAAAGTGGCCAAAAATATCCCTCAAACAGTGAGCACATCAACGTGAATTTGGATGGGCTTGATTAATCCCTAGTATGTTGTCAAGGAAATAATAGCAATAAATGATCAATTGCATGGTTTTTGATTCATCTAATTATAGCTAAACAGTATAATGAAGTACTACATCAAGGAGACATCAGCAACTGGTTAATAATTAGAAAACTATATCGGATTCAAAAAGACTTAGTGAAAGGGACAATACCAGGAAAATATAGGGCAATAAAATGCTTGCCTATGTTTAAATTATTCACAGGCATAACAGCTAACAACATCCAAGATTATTTAGAAGAAAATAACATCCTTCCAGTAGAACAGAAAGGAAATAAAAGAAAAAGCAGAGCTATAAAAGATCAACTGCAGATTCATAAAATGGTTCTGGAGAACTTGACAAATATAAATTGCTGGGACCCGACAGATTACATCCCAGAGCAGGCAGATGTTATCT